AAAAAAAAAAAAAAAAAAAAAAAAAAAAAATCTGAGAAAGGAAATGTTAAAATTGTCTGTAACATTTAGAACAACAAAAAAGACCAAATTGGTTTCATAGTGCATTTAATTGTAACAAGCCCAGTTGCTGCCTCAAGATCAGTTGACATTACACTTTACAAGTGAAACTGTGTCCATGCCAATGACTTGATATGTGTGGAAAGCCTTCCTCTGAGAGAAAACTGCACCTCCTGAGCTTTTAGGCACTTCCTAAAGCAACTCATTCTTCATACTTTCACCACAAATTTATTACTTTTTTGTTTAAAAATTGAAAAAATTCACTTGTTTATTTTTTTAAAGTAACACACCATTTTTAAAAGCCAATCAATATAAAACATATAAGGGCAAAAAAGTAAAATGTCATCTCTTTTGAATCTTACCAACCAGATATGAATATGATGACATATTCTCTATATATGACATATTCTACAGGACCTTTCCCTAAGTGTGCATAAATATGCACATTTTTAAAAAGTGGGATCATGGTATATATAAATATATAAATATATATATATATCACTTCATAAACAATTCCTTTAACTTATTTATTATTTTAACATGTTAACAAAATGTAATAGCAACAGAAACAGTATTTTATGCATATATACTCACATAATGCAGTTGTATAGACACACTACGATTTAACCAATTTTCTACTGCTATAAATTTAAGATTGTTTTACCACTTTATGTTCTTGTAAACTATTGTACAAAGGATATGTTTATATGTGCTGCTTTACCATTTATGCAATTATTTAGGAAAACTCAGAAGTTAGAACTCCTTAAGATTATGCTTGTTTTGAAGGCTTTTGATAAGCATTGATAAACTGTCCTTCAGAAAGGTATTTAACACCAGCAATGTATGGGAGTGCTAATTTTGCCACAAGAAGAATTTGTGCAAAAAGACAGACAAGTAGAAAGCATTTTAACTATGTCCAAATGATAGCACAGATTTGCATTATGCTCTAGTTAAAGACAAAGTGCTAACAGTTTTGATTTTCCACACACCAGATTTAAAACTACTTGACATACTGCTGACTAGTAAAAATCATACCCAACTAACCACTGGATTGCAATAAAAGCTGAACTATCCAACTGTTCCTTCCATGAAAATTCAGCAGATGCCATCATTAACTGGTTTGCAGATATCCTACAGTACAGCAGATGTTTCCAAATGATGCAGGAGCTGTGTAGGATCTCAAAGATCCTCCGAATTGTCTAGGAAAATGGAACTGTTTCAAATAGTATTTAAATCAAATGCACTTTATTGTCATCTATCTTTTTTGAAGTCTAGCAATCCATGAATAATCTACTGAGCTACTCTCTACTAAATAAAATATTTGACTGGATTCCATGTGCTTCCTCTCCATGATGATCACAAGAGGATTTATGACAGAGAGTTCTCTGTTTCTTGGATCCCATCTCATCTCGTCCCACACACAGTCATAGAAGGGCTCGATCTACCTTTCTGTAGGAAGGTCTGTTGCAGATGGCAAATGGCTCACTAGATATCTGGGAGAAAGAGAATCTATTGTGTGTGTGATCAAGCATGCATGTACACACCCATGACTAAGCACAGTCAATCTCAAAAGTCCATTGCAATTAGATGATGCTATTTCATTTGTGTAAGTGATATGAAGAAGTAGAGAGAACTGATTTCTTCCATTCCCAGACCCATTGGTTAATTAAAGGCTTTTTTGTTACATGGAAGGAAAAACAGACCTGTACAATAGGAAAACTCTGTGGTATTGCTGTGGTTTTGGCAGCAAAGCTATCTTAGATCCTGACCACCAGAATTCTGCTGTCTCAGTGGAATTAGTAACAGGATGGCCATCCTATATTCTGGGCCATTTAGATATAAAATTCAAATAAATAAATGTATTGAAGATCTGGCAAATAAGGAAATCATCAAGGGCTCAGCGCCTTTACACTGGGATGGGTGAGTTCTTAACATATTCCAGGTGAGAGAAGAAGGACCTGGCAGGGGTTTCTTGAGCCATACATTAGTTGTTTCCTTGCCTGAATACCTCTCATTCCAGATTCCCCATCAAGTAGTGTAC